TCATGAGTTGTCAAGCACTTTAACCCCAAAACTTCCTAGATTGTATATTGGGTTGTTATTATTATTGTTGTTGTGGTTTACTATAATGTGATGCTCCAATAAGAACCCCACACTTCTTTTGACACTGGATTTGAATGGCATAATATGACACTGGCACCATACGGTGTTTTTGACCCCTAAGTGGTTCCTCCACCCCCCCCCCCCCAGGCAGACAGGGGTTGTTAGGGTAGTTAAGGCGTCAAGAAAATCCTAGGAGAAGAAGAGTAGTATGAATGTTTTCAACAATATTGTTCTTGAATTTGGAGTTTTTTTTTCTTCTTTGTCTGGTTATATATGTTCATAATTGACATTTTCAATGTTGGAATGAATGTAGGGTGGTTGGGAACTTGATGAGTCCTTGGAAGAGGCAGCACTCAGAGAGACCTTTGAGGAAGCTGGGATTTATGGAGAAGTTGGGGTAATTTTATAACCTTAATCTTCATTAACCACAAAGCATTTGTTGTTTTCTCTTCATTGTTTGTGATATAAGACATTATGCTTAACATTCCCCTCAAATGTAACTTAGGTCTTTTTTTATTCAAATTGTCACTTGCTAGAATAGATTTGTGTTCTTATTTTTTGTTGGTTTTTTCACTTTTGATCTCATGTTTCATATGCTATTGCTTTGTAGAGTTGTTTGGGGAAGTGGTTTTTCAAGAGCAAAAGCTTAGGAGTATTACATGAAGGTTACATGTTGCCTTTGGTTGTGTTGGAGGAGCTCGAAGAGTGGCCCGAGAAAGACGTTCGCCAACGATTATGGGTACGTTCTTTTCCTTTGTTCGAATGGGCCCCAGTGTGTTTGTCCAGTTTGACCTTTGCAACAGTCAATCTTGATGAATTTTGATCGAATTTTGATCATCAGTTAAATATTTTTGAGTATTGTTTTTTGATGTTGTGATGAACTTGGGTTTGTAGGTTTCATATAGTGAGGCCATGGAAGCATGTTTTCATCCATGGATGAAAGAAGCTTTGGATCTCTTGGTCACTCAGCTTAGACTTGACAAGGGAGTTGAAAACAAGAACAAGAACAACAACAATGAGGCAATCAAGGTGGTGGAAGAACCCCACCATCACCATCAACAAATAGTTATAGAGATCTTGGTGAGCGGCGACGGTGGCGGCGAAGAGGCGGCCACCGCCTCCCTGAGCATCGTGGCGACGACCACCACGACCGCGACTCACCCGACCCGGACCGAGGAGCCCAGAACGAGCTGCTCGATCGAGTTCCTGAGGACCGAGTTGAACGGCGTTGCGTAGGGAGAAACATCTAGCTAGGACTGAGTGATCCACTTTCTCAACTCCCAATTCTCATGCTTTAGATGGAAATTCACAAAAAAAAAAGAGGGGGGGAATTGTAAATTGGTTTGGAAATTGGGGTTCAAATGAAAGTTGAGAGAAGTAGAGGGGGTTGGTTGACAGACACAGCTTGTGTTTTTAATTGGAATTGCTAACCACCTTGTGATGATGCCTTTAATCAGTTCATTAATTATGATTTGTGTTCCTTCTTTCATGTACATTACTGTGCTTATGAACTCTTTAATCTATATATTCATTCAAAGCTGTAAAACCGTGTGTGACAGACACTGCACACACCCCAAAACCAAACACCTTCCAAAAAAGATTGTGAGCCCGTTTGGTTAGCTCAACTGGTCTAAAGAGATGTCAGGACCGTTGATCTTAGGATCGAATTCTGACAGCGGTTGTGTGAGAGTATTATTATTATTGTAATGACACTTTGTGTGCACCAGGCACGGTGCGGTCTCTTTAAGGATCAGATTGAGATTATACTATAATTTACTCTCTTCACAATCCTGTCGAGTTCGGGTGTGAGGGCGTCAAGGTGGGCGTTCCACCTCCCAAAAGGATTGTGTCCATTTTGAAATTTAGTTTTGATCTGTCAAATTTTTACAACATTTAAATGTTTTAATATATACTCCCTCCGTCCTATAATGATCTTCCCAGAGCACTATTCCAACTTCACGGGAATTTATATTTATTTGACAAAAAAGTACCGGATATACTATTTTATTTTATAAGAACAGTGGTGAACAAAACAACTTGAAAACCACATCAAAAATTTATACATACAAAATAAAAAATAAAGATATGGTTATAAATTTATTTTTAGATTGAAAAAATTTGGGATTTTTCTTCGTTTTGCGAACCGGGAAGATCATTATAGGACGGAGGGAGTATTTAGTTTGCGGTCAAAATATTACAGTTTAGCAAATACGGAGTATATGTTTATTGATAATTTTTTTGGGACAGAAGGAGTATGTCTTGTGACACTTTAGGCCCTCTTAGTGGAGACATCTTGATTTTTTTTACTTTGTATTCTATAAAAATAAAAACAAAAACATAACATACTAATTTCTATTCTAGTGTATTCATCGGTATTCATTCAGATGATTTTTTCAAATCAAATTAAATAAACTTGGGACTTCAAATCAAATAAAAATTATAATGTACAGAGTATATTTTTTACACATAATTTAATTTAATTTATCGTATTTAGAACGTTTAGAATTCTATTTCAATGTATTGATAGTAGATACACAATACGATTTCAGAGCAATCCATGATTAAAGTTTGTCTTGGTTGACATGAAAAAACCAAACCCGGCAAATACATTGGGACGGAGAGTGTACTACGTAAATCACGCAACACTAAAAAATAAAAGCTGTTTTAGTAAACGAATGGAGTATAAATTTAGGGGCCGCAGGTGACAATTGTGTAATCATAAATAATTTTTGTAAATTTCCAAATTTATGTGAGTATTGTTACAAGCTTTTCCAAATTCCAACTGCATCTAATTTAATTATTTAAAAAAAGACAAATCACAATAGTTTGGGAATGAATATGCATTTGAGAGTGTGTTAGTTCTTTCTTGTGCATGCATGTGAGAGATTAATACATGTAGACACATGTATGCATGTCTCACTAATTAATTAATCACTTGTGATAATATAATTCAATAATATCTCCCCCATCTATATGTATGTCTCCCACTTCATCACCCAATTTTGAAATTGCATGATTCCTTATTTTATGTCTCAGACATGTTTTGTCATCATATATTTCAGTTGGTCTACACTAGCTGCAGCATACCTCCAGCTCTCTTCTGAGGACAAACTAACATGGCTTCTTTATATATATATATATATATATATATATATGGGTTCGTTCAGATGAGAATATTCTTAATGTGCGAATATACGAATGGTGCATTTTTAGACTGTCGTGATGCATTTACAAAAAGTTTAATTTATTTACAAAATTGTCAACACAATTTTTTTTAATTTTTCAAAATTTTTAATTTTTTATAGCTCTTAGATCTTAAATCTAATGGATCATATGCATTTTCATTTTCCTTTCACTATGCACCATTCTCATTCACACACACACACACAAATATCAAGGCTGACCTAGAAATGTGAAAAAATGAGATTGGCTCTGTGTAAAATTCATGTGTTGGATCTTTCTTTATCTAGAGCACTTGTGCTTCAAAATTAGCTCGGAAGAAATATTAGAAAAACAAAAGAAAAAAAACTTTGTGTGAATCCTATGTTCCTATATAATACAAAAAATAAGTTTTAAAATATAAATAAATAAATAAATAAATAAATAAATAAATACCTATACTCATTTGGTTTGAAATGAGGTATTTATTGGATTCAAGTTAGTTTTCCTATCCAAAGAAGACAACAAAGAAAATTTGAAAAACACCCCATGCCCACACCCGGGGCAAAACAACTTCATGCCCATCCTACTATAAGTTCGCAAGGGATGGCACATTATTGACTTTATTATAGTACTCTGGGTAATAAATTAAAAATAATAGTGGTCTATATATGGGTAAGAGGGAGTACTATTTAATCATACACTCATCATGTGCTCTTCATCACTCCTTCCCAATAATTCCACCATAACAATTTTGTTTTATCCCCCCCCCCCTACCAAACACTTCCACCGTTGAAAATTTTCTTTCCATATTTAATTCGATGCGATTTTAAATTCAAAATGAACTTTTTACGTTATTCACCAATAAACAATGGTGGATTTAGAATAAGAAGTATCATCAATTATTGGGGGCATATGCGTTTCGTGCAAGTGGCTAGATGTAATTGCCGCCACTAGTCGTCGTAGACTTGCAATGATTCTAGGAATGTCATTGTGATTGTAGATTTGTAGAATTATCTTCGCTAGGTGCTAAAAACATTTCCTGGGCGAATAATTATAAATCTAACCTCTTGCTTGATCAAGTAGGTTTCATGACAAGGTATCATCGAGAGACTTCATGAACCAGAGTTTACGAGTTTGAAATGCTCATGTATGTCTATCACCTCCTTGAGAGGGGCATATTTGTAAAATATTTTCTGAATCTACAATCTCAAATTTGAACTCTTAATTGAGTTGGCACTTGGCACTCCACGACTAACGTATCTACTTAGCGGGATGGCGAATCCCAAACTAACTTGGGCCGATCCTCGATCCCCTAAGTGTTCACAAAAATAGTTTGCAGATGGGCTATGCGGACTATTGGGCATGACTTTGACACCTCTTCTAGCCCGCTTCGTTCATGGGCTCTCTTAGCTCTTATCTTTGGGCCATTGTTGTGGCCTTTGTTACC